AGCATGATGCTTTTAGCATGTATAAACGCTATCCAGAAAGAGATGTTTGCAAGTTTCTATTAAGAAAACCAACCATAGTTTTATTACAATATTTGTTTAGTAACTATGGTTTTGTGGCATATAGATTACCATTAAAATACAAACATTTTTACAGCGTTTAGGCTACAGTGCACTATGGGTAGTGTCGCAATTTCATGGCTAATTTGTAGTTACCTTGGTTTAATTACAAAAACTTATGCATGTTTGACATGTTGCTAACAATTAATCGAAGACCATTTCATTGAAATAAACTAAAGCTTATAAGCTACTAAAGCTAATAAACATGTTTCTAACATTGTTACAGATGGCTAGCATGTTTTAATGCCTGCCACTGCTAGCATGGATTATTTTAATGCTAGCATGTATTAGCTGCCTGAAGAAACCACTTCATTTATTTAAAACATCAACTCATACAAAATGTTTGTCTTTGTATGATAATACTTTTGTAAATTTCATTTCATGTGAAAACGCACAAAGAAAGAGCTGTTGCTTGCTTTTTTCACATTTGTCATGTGTTCTTTTGCTTCCCCATCCCATTAGTTCACTGAATGAAAATAAACGTCATCATGAGCTTGGAAATATCATTGATCAAATTCAAGTAAATATCATCAACTCTTTTATGCTACATTTGTGGGCAAACATGCAAATTAAAAGAAAAGAGTTTACATATTCAAGTTAATAATACAAATACTTTTAAATAAATAGTAATAATATGATAACTTTACATCATACCATGCATAGGCTACATTTTCATTCACATATTTTCAATCTTTGCACAACCTCTTTTCCATTTGAAATGTTTTTTCCCCACCTTTTATGGGCAGCTAATGATATCTTTAGCTGAGTTTAGGCTATTTGTTTTGTGTCTATGTGTGTGGACTTCTTTGTTCTTTACTGTTTCTTGAAATCTGACAGACAGAGGTGCAAAAATACTGACAGATTAGGCATATAAATGTAGTGAGTACACATCAAATTTTAATACACGCTTCTAGAAATCGCATTTAAATTACAGACTGACTTAGGCTTTATCAAAGTCTGTGAGGAAACACATTACTTCAGATCGGATGTGCTTATAATGAGAGGAAATCATGAATGAACAATTGTTTCCAATTTACAGTCAAATTGATGTCATTGGTTAGCCTATAGAAGTTCAGACCAGAGTGTAATTGGATCACTTGTTATCAGAGGAAAGATCATAGTCATGATGAGCTGGAAAAAGCTTTGTGAAAAGGAAATGTTTCTGAGTCAGAATTACAGCATTCAGTTTCAAATGATCTGGAGTAAAGTACTTTAAATAATAGTTTATTCATGAAGTACAATCACTCAGGTGTTTACATTACTGTGTAGTCTCACTTGAAAAAGAAAACCCGCTGCTCAACTATAGTGTAAAACTAGTTTGCAGTAATATTTGTTTTGAGGAATTGAAGATTTTGTACATTGTTTTTTTATAATGTTCAAATAATAGTTTGTTCTTTTCCATAAAGTCAGTAAATTAGATGCAAAAGTAACATTAGCCATTATTATCAATACTAATTCTTTGCTAAATAAAATATATAATAAAAAAAACAGATTTTTTAAGGATCATGTGAGACTAAAGGGACTAACAATGCTGGAAATGCAGCTTACGCCAAGAATAAATTTTTAATAAATTTTTGGCATTTTTAAAGTATATTAAGTTATTAGTTTAGTTTATTTTTTTTGGAAGAATTATTAAAAGTAGAAAATCCACGAAAGCTCTAAATTGCAGCTAATAATAATTCATTCATAATAATTAAAATATAATTAAAACGTTTGGTTCCAGCTGTAACATTATCGCACATTAATCTTTTTAATGTTTATATAAGGTCATTTTTTAAGAAAATGTTAATAGAAAAAATAAATTATTATATAATTTTATATGGAAAAACAAACCACATAAGATTAAAAAAAGATATTCTAAGAAACAAGATTAGGGACAGAGGTTTAGGGATTGTCGACTTTACTTCATTTAATCATACATTAAAAATAAATTGACTGAAGAGATTTCTTAAAAAACCTTATTCAATGTGGAAAATATTTCACAACTTTATTTTTATTCAAATTGGAGGTATTGTTTTTCTATTACAATGTCCTTTCTCACTTGGATAATTACTCATAAAATTAACAACATTTCATAAACTGCTCTTACTATCATGGTTATGAATATACAAGCACAAATTTTTCTCCTCACCACTGCTTCATTTGGAACAATTGAAGTATTGTTTGCAAATCTTTATTTTTTAGAGAAATGGTTTTTAAAATATTTTTTTTTATTTGTCAATTATTAGATGACAATGGTACTTTGTTTATTTTCTGAGTTTAAAAAGCTACATTTTGAACCCTCAGAAAAAGAATAAAATACAGTTTTATGTACCATCCATTCATTTGATTATTTCTTTTATCCTGGAAAGGAATAATCAAATGAAGGATGGTACACAGACCGATACAGTAATTCATGCCATTCTCAATGGTTTAAAAACTTTATTGAAGGGAGTGCAAACTTTTAATTTGGATCCACCTTTAGACCAAACAACCCAATCTCAATAAAAGGGATATCAATAGTTGATGATAAATTTAATAATTGTATGATGCTGACTTTTTAAGCATAAAACAATTCCAGCTTCTATTTTAAATGGCTGGCCACATATAACATAAATCGGGACATTAATTGGAATCTTCCACATAAACATTTGCTAACTAACAAGGTAAAAGAAATTACATAGATGTTATCCTTGTAAAAGCTTCCTTAACTATATGATAGATATTGAAAACAAATGTACTTTTTGTGACTTGGAGGAAACCATTATTCATCTTTTTTGTGAATGTTCTTGTGTGAAATTATTTTAAACAGAACTATGTATCTATCTCAGAAAAGACAAATGTTGATATTTGTTGAAAGACTTTTGACATAATTTTCTTTTATTACAACTCTAAATCTTGCATTCAGTACATTGTTAACCTTTTTTATTATTGGTAAGTTTTTTACTCACAAGTGTAAATTATTGGAATTTTTTTTTAATTCTGGCTATTTTTTTTAATTGACTATAAGTCAAATATTTTGTCTTTAAAGGGCATAAAAACAAAAAGTCTTTTAAAAGTAAAAAAATGGCTTTCATATGTAACCTTTTATAGTTTTTCCTCTGGCCTCTGTTTTTAATTTTAATTTTTATTAGTATTTTTTCTTTTTTCTTTTTTTTTATATTGTATTATGCAGATTGTAACATCTCAATTTTTTCTAATGTTCCAAATTTCTGCAATCTATTGTTTTTGTTATTGAAAACAATAATAATAAAAAAAAAAAGAAAATAATAGAAAAAACACTTCTACTGCATAGCCAATGGAGGGCAGTATAAGCCAACATCTCCATCCCACTGAGCACGTGTATGCGTGTATGCGCATAGCAAGCCATTTGGACACATTTTATTTTTTAAGCATGCTGTCATTTATGAACATGCTGCTTTCAGTTACTCAATTATTTATACAAATAAGAGGAATCGGTTAATATGGTTTAGATGAAGCCGTGCCTGCAGGAAGAAGATGTTTTACAGTCGTCAGTCAGCTGGGGTGTGTGGGTGAGATGTGGAAGTACGCGCAGATATCTGTGATGCAGAATCAACAAACTGCGTATTTTCAGTGGAACGCAGTTCTCACGCTTAGATTACCATTTATAGAAAATAGCCAACTCCTATTTTGTGATTCATAGGCCTAAGTTTTGATTACAGTTGAACTTTATTATTGGACCTCTCTCTGTTGACTTTTGATGTTGAAAATTTAACATTATTGACATTTAAGTAGTTTTAAATAATATGACGTATTATAAATTATTAAGTCTTTAAAATAACAGAAAATGTAGTTTATTGCAAGGTTCCCGTACCGACAAACACAAACCCAGACATTATCTTTGAACTATTAAAAATGTTAATAAAAGTCACTTTTACTTCGAACTTTTCAAAGTTGTTAAAAGAAAGGTCCCATAATGCAATTTAAAAGCATAGGCTAAACTGGGAAAATTAAAAATAAAAACATGAATAACAAAATACAGAAAACTGCAGATTTACGCAAATGTTCTACAGTGTATATACAACTAAACTTCATAAAATTATGAAGGACAATTTTTCATTTAAGTTAAGAAATAAAATAAAATAAAATAAGAAATAATGTAATAAATACTTTGTACTGCAAATATAAATGCATTTTAAATTTTATCAAATTAAAATACAATTCAATTTAAGCTACAATTAAATGTGTGTATTTAATTCAAAGGCCCTTAAACTGCAAACTTGTTTATATGATAGCGTTCTTTTGAGTTGAATCTTTTCAATGAATCGTTTACCAAAACTTGTCCGAATGTTTGCGATAAATGACAGTGGGCAATAATAGGACGTAGTAGATTTGATCTAGCGTTTGACTGGTGCTGTGAAAAGATACTTTAATTTTATAATTACAGAAATATTTACAAAATAAAAACTTTAGTTGAATCTAAAAAAAAGTTGCGTTCTGGCTGTAAATTAATATTTGCATATTTAGATCTAATATACTTACATAATATATAACATAATAAAAAAAACTACTAATACAAATTTACTAATAAAAACACCCTACATTAAAGCATTTTTGCAATGTCAGAAACACACGAGAAAGTAATACGTCACGAATCGATGTCATTGATCAAGAACTGGTTGTTTGAGTCGGTTACAAAATTATGTGTAATCATCTCAATGTAAATAAAACTTAAAATAAATTTCAATAAATCAGTGAACCAAAAATGTCCGTTTTTTCAAATGAATTGTTCAAAAGAACCGAGTCTTCTAAATGATTCTGTAACAGCCCCCGGAAACAGACGTTTGTTGAATACGATTGGTGGATTTTGTGAGTGGCGTCATATACCCGCGCTTTGTTTGGAACGTCAGCTCCTTGGCGGGATTCAGGCCCCTGGAAGAGACAGGCAGGTTTGTTGTTCTCTGGCAGTAACGTGTAAAAATTCTGTATACATCCAGCTTTTGTTTATACACCTAACGCTAATATCATTACCATGTTTAAGTGTGTAACGTTAAACACCCGCGAGGACTTTGCTGACATAAAGCAACATATATTACCTGCGTATAATGAACTACGTTAGCTTTTAACTTAGCATTGTTCTAGTTACACACATTAATAATCTGTCACAAAAGCTGTACTGCGTACTTATGTTATTTAAGTATTGTTACAAGTCTGGATTATTTAATGTTGTTCGGATCATGAATTATTTCAGTTGTAGCACTTTTTTAAAGCTTAAACTATAGCCCTATAACGTTATCTCTGTTGTGTAGGTTTAAAATGCAGTTTTCAGGCAGAAGGAAGAAGCTGATCAGCAGCTCTCAGAGTGATCTGTATGATCACTGTCTGCAGTTTTATGGTCAGCCTCCTCTGGACAACATCTCCCTCATCGAGTTTGAGACCTTTGCAGTTGAGAGACTGAAATGTGAGTCTTTAGCACATGCCATGTTTGTTTATTAACCATCATAATGCACTAAAAATGAGAATGATTGTTAAATAGTCATAACTTTTTATTTATTTGTAATTTTTAATTAAACCATATTGTCTCTGATTAGTAATGTCTTGTTAAAGGGATAGTTGACCCAATAATGAAAATATACTCACTCTGAAAGGGGTTTAAAACATTTTTTTAAGTTGTTTGTTTGTTGAGCATAAAGGAAGGTATTTTGAAGAATGTTCAAATAATGTTATCTTTTGACACAAATGTAGAAAAACGTACCAAGAAAGTCAATAGTTATCCATTTCCAAGATTTTTTAAAACCATTATTTTGTTTTCACTGGAATTAAGAAACTCAGATAGGTTTGTAAAAAAAGTTAAGGTTGAGTAAATGATGACAGGAACCTTAGTTTTGGGTGAGCCATGTATTTAATGTCTTTAATAAATGATTTAATGAATGTACCATGCTATTGTTACATGTAAGTTCTTGTTTATTTGAAAAAAACACACACTTCAGTACTCCAATATTAAGACATTATTATTTTTTAAGTATTTTACTGAACTTATCTTTAGCCCCATTGGAATAACATTATTACAATTAATAATTTCGGTTTAAAAATATGTTGAACAATGTGTACATTTATTAATCACGACTACTCAAGAATGCCATGTTAAATGTGCTTTTATTCTATGCTTTTCCAAGTGCTCAAAACTGTGGAAAACCTTGGAGTGAGCTATGTGAAAACTACAGACCAGTACATCAAAAAACTGGAAGCTGAGTTTTTAAGCCTGAACTTTCCATTCAGGGCAGAAGTGGTAAGGACACATTCTTCATAAGAAATATATGTGTACATTTCTATACTGTACTTATGGGGCATGCACTAGTGCTCAAGGGGATCATCATTTTTTTTAGCTGTACACTGAGCATCAGAACCTTTCCTTGAGAATGAATTATTATTATTGTTATTTTAATATTTCTACTTTTTTAAAACTTGCATTATGTTATTTGATGTTAACTGATGATTTGTATTGACTGTACTGTAACTCTTTCATACAACACAATGTTATATTTACACAGATTTATTGTCTTTAAAAAGTTTTAAAAATCTTAAATGAGTGCAGTATGTTCATTTTTTTTTAATAACCCAGGATGACCGAAAGGTTCCAGGAGTAACATCTGAATATGAGAAACGAAGAAAAGACCATATCTCCCATTTTATTCTCCGCTTGGCTTATTGCCAAACGTAAGTAATTAGGTTATACTTTTACAGATTGATTAATTTTAGTCATGAGGGACTCTAATCTGTCTTTGTTGAAAATTGAGCTATGAGTATGTTTATAACATTTACGCTCTTAATAGAAAAACTACAGTTGAAGTCAGAATTATTAGCCCCCTCTGTTTATTTTTTTCCCCAATTTTTGTTTATTGGAGAGATATTTTTCTACACATTTCTAAACATAATAGTTTTAATAACTCATTTCTAATAACTGATTTATTTTATCTTTGCCATGATGACATGAAATAATATTTGGCTAGATATTTTTCAAGACACTTCTGTAAAGCCTAAAGTGACATTTAAAGGCTTAACTAGGTTAATTAGGTTAACTAGGCAGGTTAGGGTGATTAGACAAGTCATTGTATAACAAAGTTTTGTTCTGTAAAAAATATATAGCTTAAAGGAGTTAATAATTTTGACCTTAAAATTGATAAAAAAATTATTTAAATTCAAAATATAATTGTTTATTAGAATTTTTGTTTATCTTGAAACACAGATTACTTCATGTAAACAACACACCCCAATAAACCATCTACATACTGGCTTGACAGCCATATTTGTTGCAGAAATAAAAACAGAGGCATGTTAAAGCCATTTGAATTTTAAAACAATCAATGCCAATAAAGAAAAAATTGGTTTCCAAGTTAGATTGTAAGTGGACTGCAAAAAAAAAAGCCAAAATACAGGCATTGCAGATATGGAAAATGGAAAATTATAATAATAATAAAGTATTGAATACAAATAATTGCACTTATTAAAAAGTTGTATTGTTGTGAGTTGAGAACATTAATTATAAAGTAGAAACAATTTTGCTTAGACTTCCTTTACATTCAGCCTGTTGCTAAAACAGTCCAGTCTGTTGACATTATCGGGGGACAATGTAGACCTTTTCTTTTAAATGATGTGAGCTGAGAGTGCAACACAATCTCACTGCAATTTGTAATGTTTTGATTTGGTGGCTACGAACAACTATGTTTAGGCAGGTTTGTTGCTAAGAATCACGTGTGCACACACGCACGCACGCATGTTTGTTTTTGTGAAACGTGGGGACATTACATAGGTTTCCATTCCTTTTATATTGTCCAAACCATATATTGTATTGCCCTCAACCCACCCACCCCTAACCCCAACCATCACAGGAGACTGTGTGCAGCTTTACTCTCTGATTAAACTCATTCTGGGAGATTTATAAGCATTTTGAGAAATGAGGACAGCACCAATGTCCTCATATTTCACCTCCTTTTTGTAATACCTGTGTCATACCCATGTCATTATACAGATTTGTGTCCTGATATGTCTCAAATATACGTACACACACACACACACACGCACACAACGCGCGCAGGATAGGGCAGCCGGAGCGACTCCCTTAAGATTTTACATGCATGATCGCGTTCATCAAATTTGCTTAAACTAAGCGTTCTAAAGTATGAACAAATTAAAACAAAAGTAAACAAAAGTTGAAAACTTAAAACAAAAGTTGAAAGTTAAAAATGAAACACCCGATATTGCATGAAACTCTGGAGGAAAGGCTGGATAGCCTGGTAATGCGAGATTGATTGTTTTATACTGAAAATTGCCTTCATAAAGTGCTTTCTTGGTTTTATTCATATTTCTTTGCATGTTGAACCCACGACGGCCTCAACAGGAAAAAAAACTGCAATTGCGTTTATTGCGTTCATTTTTTTACGTGTTAAATATTTCAAATTAATCGCATGCGTTAATGCACTAATTTTGACAGCACTAATCAAAAAAAAAAAAGAGGCTAATAATTCTGACTTCAACTGCATTTAATAAATCGCATACTTTTTTTTGCTTTAGGGAGGACCTTAGGCGATGGTTTATCCAGCAGGAAATGGATCTTTTTCGTTACAGGTTCGGGATTCTTTCTTCAAAGCACAAGACTGAGTTTTTGCATAAGAATAATTTGAAGTATGAGACGGTAAGGCTTTTAAAAATACCTTTTGCAACCTTATCATTTATTTATTGTTAGTTATTGCAAAACTGTAAAAAAAAAAAAGGAACTGTTATAAATGTAACTTTTAATATATGTTATCATCAAAGTAACCATTTTCACAGTTTGAATTTAGATGTTTGTCTTTATACAGAGATGATTTATATTGATTATTTCCTTATAATCATTTTCAAAACTGATGTGATGCTTCAGCTTTTCAATGCATACCTGACCAATATGGTTTTACAGGTCTTAAAGGTTTTAAAAAATATCTACCACAATTTAAGACTTAAAAATATCTTGAGTCATAGCAAAACGTCTTTATTAAGTCATTGGATTAAACATTGATTTATTGAATGATTTTTGTGACTATACAAATATCTAATAATTTAAAATACTGTATATTATTATTCTATATTTACTTAAATCAAGCAAATTAATGCAAGAAGAAATTAATCCTTGCTTTTATGAGTTTATGGTTAAAGCAAGAACAAATAACAGTAAATGCCGTTTGAAAATTAATCTTTTGTTAATTTTGTTTATTCTAACAGCAGATATTTGTTTTAGTCAAACTTGTTTCGTTTTGATCAGTTTCACAGAAACAAAACTTTTATCAGGCAAGCTTCAAATAAATGTGTCTTGGTTTAAGGATCTGTAGACCTTCTCACTGAAAAAACAAGAAAAGTTTGAATAAAAAGTTGCTGTGTGAAAATTATTTGGAAGCATATTAATTTAAAGATGAAGTTTTATTTGAAAAATTAATAAAAAAATGGAGGTTGGGAAAAATAAATGTTTTCGCTATTTTTGTTTGTTGAAATGTTAATACAGCTTATTGTGTGATTCCTATAAATTTACATTTAGAATATAAATTGACGTGTTTTGTTCCCTTTAAATAATTCATTACATTTTCTTTCTTCTTACTAAGTCTTTTAATCCTTTTATCTAATGCAACACTTTGTCCTGAACATGGGAATCTTCATTTGAAATACATAGATTTCAATTTGTATTCAAATGCTTTGATGCCTTTTATTTATTATTATTTCAAGAGTTCACACTTAGATATCGCTTGACAACTGTTAGCAGGTTTGGCATGCTGTCCCGGGAGAGAACTCTGAGCTCGGAGATAGTTGAGCCCAAGGCTCCCGCCAGGTCCATAGAGCATGTGAGGGGAGTACGAGATCAGGTGGTTCTCGAGAGCTCCCCTTTTTAAAGGAGGAAAGGTGGAGAAAGGGGTGGATGGGGGGTTTCTTCGGAAAACCAAGATAAGGGAATAATATCTAGCTAGGCTACTTATAGTGAGTTAGGATAGATCTGATTGGCTAACTAATGAGTGTAGATAGGTGGCCAGCTGCAGTCAATTATATCACGTGCTCCTCTCGAAATTAGTTTAAAAACATCACTTGAAAGCCTAATAGGAGCACTGCTTTTTCAGAAGTGTAGAGGTTGAATGTGTTTTCACTCTCAGTCCTGCAGGGGGCAGTTATTTTACACCCTAAACATTGCTCACCATTTAGTTGATTTCTCTCAGTTCTACTCATCTAATAGTGTTATGATTTCTGATCTGTGCTGGAATGTTTGTGTTTTCTAACTTAAATAAATGCAAATGTTATTATATACCAATAAAAAAAATACACAATTCTAGATTTTATGACCTTTTTACAAGTTTTTTTTTTAGGTTTCATTCTGAATTGTAATAAAACATGCTTTGTGCTTTCACTGCCTCTCCTAGATACTTGAAACTAAATGTCACATTTGCTGTTTTCATTTCACTTTACAGGTTAGTGCAGAGGAAAAGAAATACCTAAGAGACAAGCTCATCAACTCCAGTTATGGATTAAGTGGAATCACACTAGAAGAATATGATTTCTACAGAGTAAGTTACTTATGCTATTCTAATTCTTAAAAATGTATTTAATGCTTGGTTTCTGACAAAGGCAATTTATATTTTAGAAGGCATATTAATGAGGTATACGTGTCTAAGCTGGAAAGAGAAATTGTATTTATAAACATTACTTTCATTTGTCATTTTCATTTGTATCTATTGTTATGCTAATAGGTCAAAGATGGGACGACACTTTATTTCATTTAATTTTCTAACATTTTTTGAGGACATTTAGAATACAAAATGTCAAAAATGAGTAAAATTATTTAATAAATTATATCAAAACATTTTTTTAATTGGTCAGTGTTACAGATATATTTATGGAAGAAAAGGTAATATTAAATAAAAAACTAAAATAAAGCAAGTGATTACAAACCTCTCTAAAAAATTGGTAACACCTAGTGCTTTAAAATATCTTGGCAAATTATACAAGTTTAAAAGGACAATTTGTTTATAAGGGATCAAATGATTTTTGTTTTAAATATTACTTTTTTTTATGAAAACTAAATTATTTTACACTGAATTATATATTAGTGTGTGTCTTGTAAATCGAGGTAGAAATGTTTGACTTAATGCTTTTATAAATTAGCAAATACGGAACACATTCTAATGTATGGTGAAAACCTGCATTACACTTGCATGTTTAGTTGATTCAAAACACCTTTATGTCTTTGATCCATGTTATAAAGCACATAAATGATACATTTTTTGCATGCGTGTTAAAGGTCCCATTTCAGGATGCCCTGGATTTAGTGCGCACAAGGAAAGTCTACTTATTGGCTGGCAATGCTTACATTCCCCAAAATGAAATTGTCACCATTGTCCTGAATGACTTCCGCACAAGATTGTCCAAAGCACTTGCGGTAAGTAGCTTGGTTATTTTAACTTCAGTGTTATTAACGTCTCTTAAATGTCGCAGTGTATTTGTTTTAAAATGTTAGATCCTGCTCAGAACAATTGGTGATACTTGAGATTCGTTTGTACATGGTTGTTCATCTCAGCTGACCGAGATGGATGTTATAAATAGGGCCTGTGCTATGTTAATTTTAGAGATGCACCACTCGACTGGCCAGAAACTGGATCCAGTTGGCTTTTTCTCCAAAATGATCTCTGCATTGCAACAATTTTATACTACAAACTGTGTAAACTGAACATTAATAGAGGCCAGAGACTTTAAAGCTCAATTTATACTTCTGCATCCAATGGTTGCCAGGGGTTTAACAATATTCAAACCAAACCCCTAAAAAACATGGTATGCTTCTCACAGTACAAATCATGGTACTGTCATTGTTTACTGATGTACCCTCCTCCCATCTTCCCAAGCCCCTGCTACCCTCTGTCCTTAATTCAGGACAGAAAGCAAATCTTTAGCCACGTATATAAAACAATAATTGGTGTATTGGTCATATGAGCTGGGCCTACTGCGTTTCCAGCAGTACAACTTGTACTGTAAGGTAGGGATGGCTCTATACTATAATTTTGGATTCAGTACGATACCAGACTAATGCCTCTGTATCGATACCATAGGTGACAAATAATCAGCCTCAAAATATAAATAAGTTTTTAAATATAAATAAATTTCGATGAAACTAAATTCAGATCTTCTAAATGAAGATGCCATACCAGCAAATGAATGAACATTTTACAGTATTTAATAATTTTAGTTAATGTCAGGCATGTGTTTTAAACATAGTAATGTTAAAATAACAAGCTACGCAACTTATTAGTTCATTTAAAATCCGTAATGACTAAAATAGACAGATAAAATCTCTTTCACTGTTGGGTCAGCTTACGTAAACATTTAATACATTTCTTTACTCTAAAGTGTTATTCCAACAGTCAGGATTCAAAATCACCACCTCATCCTAAAGGTTTGAGCAAATTTAGAGATCAACAGGTGAGTGCAATAGTCATATTTTTTACATTTTGATTTAATAGATATTTATTCACTACTGATCAACACAAGTGCATGTAAACTCAAATGCATTTTTATCTCTCGCACTTTTTTTTTTTTTGGTCAATTTTAAGTTCAGATTGCTGAAGAAAAAACATTTACATTATCTTAGCGGTTGGCCGTGCGGCAGCCTCCCATTAAAGAAACTAAAATTAATATAGCTTATTATTCTTGCTTCATTAAAGTTCAATTAATATTTGATTGTTATAAATACTATAGGACCAAAACTGACTCTACTCTTTAACATTCACGTTTGAGCTTTCGTGTTTGTCACACTGTGTTGTTATTAATCAGTTGTCTTAATCTTAATTTATACAAGATGTATATTAATACAGGTGCATTATAATGTATATTATTACAGGTGCACTTAATTTATACAGGTGCACTCACCTGGCAATCTCTAAATTTGTGGAAAAGATCAGGATGAGCAAGTGACAAATTGTTGATGTGATCTGATGTGCCTCCTGAGGTATTTGTAGCAGCGCTTGCATACAAGTCCATAGGGTCAGTTCATTCACCTTCATCAGCTGTTTTATATGCAATATAATGCCAGGTTCACTTCTAATATTCTCCTTGTGTGCCAGTTTTTTGTGCATTGATGAAGTTTTGTCTGTTTGATAATCCATCTTGTCGTTCTGTTATGAAGTTTACTATTTTCAGCAGCAGATTGTGAAGTAATGTCAAGTAACGAATTTAGCAAAATGATGATATCGAATTGTTTGAAATATTATAATGTGTACCAATATTTTTCCAGAACCGGTATACTGCACATACCTACTGTGTTGTAGCCCAATGCGTATTTTTTGACTCCTCTACTATGGGGATATTTCATTGTAGTTTATCCAGATTACGTTATATTAGTTTTATAAAGGTGCAGTAGGGGATTGTCTTCAGAAACATTTTTTGTTGTGCTGGTTGAAAGTCTCTTTACAGTCCAATAGTAATGATTACAGTAAAGGTTAGGGTTCATCCAATTAAATAATGACGGGCCGACATTTCCTATAATTCAGATAAGTAGCCTTAAACTGTCTGTCAACAAATGCAGATTTGGGCTTTTGCGCATCTAGGTGGGCCTGCGCGTTCACGACACGTGCACACGAATGTCAGTAGCGGCAAAATCAAATGCTGAATTGAAACATTTTAAACTCCTAAATCAATATTAGAGTTACTTTTGAACGCTGGAGGAAGGATGATACCATGGCTAAATTGTTTCTGTTAGAGAGGTAATGTTCTGTTTTAAAACTATTTTAGCTTCACGCAGAGCTGATGCAGATGTTGTTATAAATGGGTTATATGCAGACGTGTTGTTTAGCCACTGAAATCTCCCGGTGAAAGATTGAAGTCACTGTTTTTAGTTTCATAATGTCCTTTTACAGTATTTATAATGTAGGTTATATTCAGTTCAACAGTTAAACATCAGTAAGTAGTGCTATTCTGCCTAGCCTGCTTAACTGAGCTGAAGTTGCTTTTATGTTCACATTGGGTCATTTCTAAACAATGACAACCTGTGACGCGCTCCCGATATTGTTTACCATGCTACTCTAAATGTTCGCTCTGAAATAGCATATCAGTGTGGCTTTGTAATTAGTAAAATTCCTGCATTTTGAACACAATATATTTTATGTTAAGAAACAATTAAAGTACTTTGGAGCGGTAAACACATCCGGCTGAATAATTCAAATGGATTATTGACTTCTGCTGTCTTCATTTATATTAAAAACTGTTTTTTTTTTTACAATTTAAAATGACATATTTAGATATCGTTTCTGCTAGAGATACTGTTGCCTAAATACAAACAAACAAAAAAGTTAATAAAAATAGTATACATACCTTAGGAACGGTATTGCAGAAAATGTTTACGGTTTTAAAACCTTGACTTTTCCAAACCGCGGTATATCATGAAAACGGTTATGGTCCCATGCCTAGTTCAGAACCAAGAAAATAGTTATTGCTGCTGTTCTAGAAGCACCATCTACTGGAAGACTTTTTGTATTTACAGGTATATTTTGGAATTCAACTGTCTTATGAACATCAGTACATGCTCAAGCTAATGTTTAGATTAATGTCTGATCAAACTTTACTTTGTTTGGATGGCAATTAAACTGCAGTGGTTGCCTCTAATTGAAAATATCTGCACATTGTCTTAGTATGTGATAAAGCAAATAACACCTTCTTTTTCGAGGTCAGAATTATTAGCCCCGCTTTTGAATTTTTTGGTTTAATTTTTTTTAAAAATATTTCCCAAATTATGTTTAACAGAGCAAGGAAATTTTCACAGTAAAGATTTGTGCATCTCTATTAATTTTGAAAGAAGGCATCATTGTGAAGGGTGTTACTTTAATTCCAGACTGGGAATGGTTTCATATGGAAATTCTTATTCAAGTTCAGATATATACATGGTCCCACATTTAGCATGGATCCCTGGACAGATATCAAAAGGTTTATTTTTTTCTGAAGGCTTCATAGAGCAGCTATTGTGAGCAACAGAAATGGAGCTTGTGGCTCACAGTTAGAGTTGATGGGGAAGCTGCGTTAAGGTGGTCTTGGATGACTAGAAAGGTAATGCCATGGAGAGGTTATAGCTGTCATGAGATTGCTTTTTTTAAGAGTGGGCGTCAGAGATGATAGTTTGGAGAGGCTTAGAGTAAAGTGCTTGATGGCGCACACTGTGAAGTCATGGGTCATTTCCACCCCAGACGGAGATTAAAAGGCAGCTAGGAGACGGAGGAGGTCACGGGCAGGGTTGTTGGTCAGGAAATCAAAAGGAGCTTTTCTGTTCGCTCCTGCCAAGATTGCTGTACCCACCGTGTAGAAGACTTGATAATTTCTTCCCCCACAACCCTAACAAATGGGAGCAAAATGTGCTTCCCCGCGATAGGCTATTATCTTTTGAAAAATGATGTTTGTGTTTGTATTCCTACCATTGAGTTTCACCCCTTGCATCATATTTATAACGCATGTTAATGTAATGTGTGTCAGGAGATTCCCAGCAGACACCGCACTGAAGGCTTTTCATGCTTGACGTGAAGCGTGAGCTTTGCCGCTGCCTCCGTCGCCGCCTTGTTTTTATTTTCAGCAGCACAAGCACAAATATTAAATAAAAAACACAGGATGATACAGGCTCACATCTTTGTGCTTGAGATGCTGTATTTTTGTTTTGAAGGAATGATCTATCTATCTATCTATCTATCTATCTATCTATCTATCTATCTATCTATCTATCTATCTATCTATCTATCTATCTATCTATCTATCTATCTATCTATCTATCTATCTATCTATCTATCATCTATCTATCTATCATCTATCTATCTATCATCTATCTATCTGCCTACCTACTAGCTTATCTACCTACCTACCTACCTACCTACCTTTTTTTTCAAATTATTTTGTTCTTGCTTAAACTTGGAAAACATTTTATAATTCTTTCTTAATATTTTTATATGATTTTCTTCTATGTGGATATGATAATTAGACATGGTACAGTAACCTGTTTTAAGGTTTTCCATAATTTTGAAAAGTTTCAAAACCACTAATGTTTTCTGTCATGCTGTTTCAAGGTATATGTAAGTTTTTAAATTTTTTTTTTACTTATTTTTTAAGGACCCTCCACATCAAAAGCTACTACTCAGCCTACATTTTATTAGCCTACATCTATTTAAAAATAAATAGCATAAAAGCATGCTCTGTACCTGAACAATACAGTGGCTTACTTTATATCCAAAAAAAAAAGAAAGAAATCAAAAAATGCTGTTTCAAGTTTTAAAGAAAACTGTGTTTTTGAAACTAATGAAGATAACAGGAGTCTTATTTTAATTATTAGGCCTGAGATGTTTACTGTTGCAAAATATATTAAATGTTTCTCAAAATAAAATATATTGTGTTTAATAGAGAAAAAAAGACTTTACC